TGACCAGAGAGACAGAGAGAGAGAGAGAGAAAGGGAAAGGGAGAAAGCAAGTCACCAGGTCCAGGACCTGAGCCGTGGTCAGCCCCGTGGGAATCCAGTGCCATTAACCACCATGCCACCTGCCAGCCTGAAGGTTTTGTTTTCTGATTTGCTAGAGGACATGTGCACTCACTGGAAAGAGGGAAAAGACATGAGAAAGCACCCCTTCTCATGGAGGAGGGTCACCACGCAATCCCTTCTGCATTTCTCCCTTTGGGATGTTAGGCACACACCCTGCATGTTTGTCAAGCTGCTACTCAGAGCGTCATGTGGGATCTAGCCACTTTAAGCACCACATCGCCAGCTGGCCCTGCTCAAGATGTTTTATGGGGCTGCAGTCACCTCAACTCGAATGGGTCCAAAGGATTCAGCCCATTCATGTGGTTGCTGGCAGGTCTCTTCCTTACCACAAGAGCAAGCATGTTCCTAGAGACCAACACGGAAGCTGCCTAAGTGTCCTTACTTTACAGAATGTGGTGATCTGAGAATGGGAGAGGCAGAAAGCGTGAGACAAATGCCATGAGATTTTTTTTTTTCCTTTTTATTTTGATTAAATTTTTACCAGTTGCAGTAAGGTTTATTGAGTCTGATGGATTCTAACCACTAGAAAGAGACTACTTCTAAGAGCAAAAAACCCCCATAAAACAGTGCCATCAAAAAAAAGAAAACTACACTAGTGATAGGATACTGAGGGGAGTTAGAACTACTTATATGTATAAACACACAGATGGACTGGCTCCATAGCGCAGAGCTTAAGAGAACTGGATCCCATATGACTGTGGTTCAAATCCTGGCCTCGGCAGCTGGAAAAACATGTCAATATGCATGCCCCAAACCCTGATGGGATGCAGAAATGGAAGAAATGGAGTGCAATGTGACCACACCCCCCTGGGGGGTTCTCTCTCTATCTCTCTCTTGCTGTCTGGTGAACACCTACATATCCTCTGGCAACAGGAAAAAAAAATTCTTCTAAGTAATTTTTTCAAAGTTGAACAAGATCTGGGAAGGAATGTTTTGGTAAGTCAGCAACAACTAATAATAAGAGATCGTATATTAAGAAGATACAACACTTTTGGGGCCAGACAGTGGCATGACGGTTACAGGTTACAGGGCCTGGGTTTGCATTCTAGAATCTTACTGAGCATGTTGGACACATGTGCATGCCCTTGATCAAAGCCAGCTGAGCCTGGCGAGCATTATGGTATAAAGAACCCTGTTGGGGATACCTCTCTCTCATGGAAATAAACTAATAAAGTAAGTATGATACTTTAACAAAATTATTTGTTATTATTATTATTTTTAATGTGACCAGAGGGAGACAGAAAGATAAAAAGGGAAAGTGACAAAGTGAGCCACCAGGTCTGAGATTCGAACCATGGCAGGCAGTGTAGGAGTAAAGCACCCCAACCACATGCCACTTGCCAGCCCCGATAATATGATATGTTTAATGTATTCATTGTAATGACTCCCAAAAACGGGAGGCATTCTATATTTAGTTTATGCTTTAAGATTTATATACATATATATATGTATGTATATATATGTGTATATATATACACACGCACATATATACACACACACACACACACACATATATACACACACATACACACTCAATTTTTATAATTATCAAAATACAGTAATTTTTTTTTGAGAGGTTTTCGCTATAGGGCGCGTGCGCTCACCAGACAGACAGAGACAGAGAGACAGAAAGCGAGAAATCACCCCCCAGAGGGGATGGTCTCGCATGCACATGCGCCCGGCGTGAGTTTTAAGCCACCGGGTTCGGGACGCGAACCGCGGTCGACTACGTGGGAGTCCAGCGACATAGCCATTACACTAATTGCTGGTTCCCAAAATACATTAATTTGAAGCAACACAGGATAGTAAAATTAATTACACAGTCCTGCTTTTAGTCTCTTGTTCTGTACCACGGGTAAGCTGGTATTTCTTGTCTTCATTCCTATCATTAGCAGGGTTGGTTTTTGTTTTTGTAGAGATTTTTTATATAAAGTGCTTATCATTGCCAGATAAAGAAACAGAGAGGAAAAGTGAGAAATCACTCCCGAGGGGATGGCCATGCTGCAATCCCTTCTTCTCCATTCTCCTCATGGGATTTTGGGCATGTGCACACAACACCTGGTGGGAGTGTCAAGCCCCTAGATCTGGACTCAAACTGTGGCTGGCCATGTGGGAGTCTAGTGATGTAATCATTATGCCATCTGCTGGTCCCAAGCATGTTTTTTGTGAAGACTAGCCAGTGTATATAACACTTGAATGGCACATATTTAGAAGATCCTCAATAAATGGTATTATTCCAGGGTCTTTCTGGAGTTCCCTCTTCAACAAATAAGACTTGGCCTTAAGTACATAGATGTTCTCATCAGTGACTCTCTCACTAGAATCATGATTCATCAGCCAGGTTATTTATTTCTTTTCTTTCTTTTTTTTTTAAAATACATTTCTTTTTTTTTTTGGAAAAGTTTTTTTTTTTTTGCTATAGGGCATGTGTGCTCGCCAGACAGATAGAGAGAGACAGAGAGATAGAAAGTGAAAAATCACCCCCCAGGGGGTATGGCCATGCCGCAATCCCTTCTCCTCCATTCTCCTCTTGGGATCTTGGGCACGCACGCACACATGCCCAGTGTGAGTTTAAGCCACCAGGTCCGGGACTCGAACCGCGGTTAACTATGTGGGAGTCCAGCCATACAGCTATTACGCTAACTGCTTGTCCCACATTGCCTTTTTTTTAAGAATTATTTTAACTTTATTTTATTTATTTTCATTTGACCAGAGAGGGACAGAGAGAGAGCAAGCGAGCAAGGAAGCTGCCAGGTCCAGGACTTGAACCACGGTCGGCCATGTGGGAGTCCAGTGCCTTTAACCACTACGCCACCTGCCAGTCCCCAGCCAGGTTATTTCTACCTGTTTTTATTATCCTTTTATCTGAAGATTCTTCTTCAGAGTTTGGATCCCACACGGCTGACTAACCAATTCAGATCCTGGACCTGGTGGCTTAAAAATGTACTGCAGGGCCAACAGGTGGCATGGAGGTTAAGGTACCACATTCAACATGACCAACTACATGGTTTGAGCCTCACATCGGTGGCTTGCAAAACATCCTGGGTGCATGTGCTTGCCCAAAATCCTGAGAGGAGACAGAATTGTGGTGTAGCCAATTCCCAGAGGTAATTTCCCACCTCCATACCCACACCTTTTTCTCTGGTGAGCGTATGTGCCCTATAGCAAAAACAAAAACAAAAACAAAAAACAAAACTAGGAGTGTGTGCATATGTGGCTAAAATACTGAAAAATGGGTAAAGAGAGAAGGAACTGCAGTGTGACCATTCCCCATGGTGGGTGATTTCTTACTTTTCCATCTTTCTCTCTGTCTTTCTCAGGCTAGTGCACGTACCCTCTGACAAAAAAAAAAAAAGAACAGGATGTAAAACCAAAGTACTTAACACTTAGAAAAAGATGAATGGGGGACCAGCAGATGGCGTAGTGGTTACATCACTGGACTCCACATGGCTGACTGTGGTTCAAGTCCCAAACCTGGCACCTCGAAACTCACACTGGACACATGGACGTTCATGCCTAAAATCCTGAAAGGAGAGTGTAAGAGAAGGGATTGTGGTGTGGCCATCTACACTGGGAGATGATTTTTTACTTTCCGTGTCTCTGCGGTGAGCCCATATGCCCAATTGTAAAAATCTCTCTTAAAAAAGAAAAAGAAGAGGGAACCAGCAGTTAGCGTAATGGCTATGTCGCTGGACTCCCACGTAGTCGACCGCGGTTTGTGTCCCGGACCCGGTGGCTTAAAACTCACACCAGGCGCGTGTGCGTGCGTGCCCAAGATCCCGAGAGGAGAAGGGATTGCGGCGTGACCATCCCCCCTGGGGGGTGATTTCTCGCTTTCTGTCTCTATGTCTCTCTCTGTCTGTCTGGCGAGCGCACGCGCCCTACAGTGAAAATCTCTCAAAAAACAAAAAAACAAAAAAACAAAAAAAACAAAAACAAAAACAAAAAAAAAAGAAAAAGAAGAAAAATATGATGAATGGTGTGGAGGTTGGAGTAGCAGCAAGATCCCACATGGCTAACTATACAGTTCTACTCCCAAAGCAAGCGGCTTGAGAACGTGGCTAGGTGTGTGTGTGCATATGCCCAGAATCTCGACAGGAGAGAGGATTGTGGTATGGCCATCCTGCATTGGGGGGAGGGGTGATTTCTCACTTTCTCTTTCCTTTTTTTTTTTTTTTTTAAAACTTTTTTTTTTGGCCATAGGGCACATGTGCTCACCAGAGAGTGGGAAAGTGAGAAATCAGTCCCTGGGGGGATGGGCCATAAAGATTCCCTTCCCTATTCTCTTCTTAGGATCCTGGGCACTCACACATGCACCCAGAGTGTTTTACAAGCTGCTTGGTCCAGGACTCGAACCATGGACTTGGCCATGTGAGATCTAGGGCCTTAACCACAATGCCACTTCCTGGACTCTCCTGCTAGTATATGTGTCCTATAGCAAAATTAAAAAAAAAAAAAAAAAAGATGAATAATCATTGGCTACTATTATTATGATTATAATTGTCCAAGACATATATCTGATGTATTATATATTTATATAGCTTGATAGAATGCATAAGACTTTTCTTTAGCACTAGAAAAAACTAAGTCTTAATGGATGCTCTTACCATTTCATTAATTTTGCAAATATAAATGACCTATGAAAATAAACTGTTGGCGTGGTTGGATCCCACACGGCCAACTGTGTGGTTTGAGTCTGGGATCTTTTAGCTTGGGTGGAGGGGGGAACCAAAACACTGGGTATGAGTTCATGCACCCAAAATCCTGAAAGGAGAAATGGAAAAGGGATTGTGGCATGGCCATTCACTCCTCTCTCTCGCAAGCATGTGCACCCTATAGCAAATTAAACAAACAAAAAGAGAAAATAAACAAAAAGCCCATATTTTAAGGATTTTCTTTGTATTCATCGGAGATTATCAATGCTTGTACATGAAAGAGCATCTGTATACAGTCTTATTAAGCTATTAATGTTCACACACAATACATAAATGTTTTTGAAACTGCAAAGTTCTTTGACAGCTGCAACTCATTTTCAAATAAGTATGGAAGGACTTTAAATATTACATCACTCAAAGTTGTTTTTTAAAGAGATAAACTCTTAGGGGTTACTCCAATGTAACTGTCCATGAACTGTCTGTACCCAAACTGGCTTCCTAGCAGATGTATCAGCATATGGATGGCTCCTCTACTGCATGGGCGCCCTCTGTGACAGCTTTGACACACTTGGCCATTGTCTGTGAGGCTCTGCTGATTGAATCTGAAAGATATTAAGAAAATGTGCATTTTCATAATATAACCTTTTAAAAAGCATACAGCAAAACTCTAGTGTTGAACATAGTCAGGAATAACAATGGAAAGATCATAAAGCTCTATTATATAAGTAAGTATAGGTAACTGACACATTCCAAATATAAGCCCCTTATTAGACAGGTGCTTTTAATAACTAATGATGAAATAATTATTAAAAAGCTAGACAATGCATCAGTATGCAACCATTAAAAAAATTATAGGAAAGTAATAAAAACACAGGAAAATATGTGCATATTACTATTACTGAAAAAAAGTTTACAAAAGAATGGGAACTATGGGACCAGCAGATGGTGTAATAGTTTCGTCGCTGGACTCCCATGTAGTCGACCGTGTGGTTCAAGTGCTGGAACCGACAACTTAATACTTACGCAGGGCATACGTGTGTACATGCCCAAGATCAAGATAGGAGAATGGGGAAAGAACTGTACTGTGGCCATCCTCATTGGGGGGGGTGATTTCCTACTTTCTGTCTCTCTGTCTCCTCAGCGAGCAAATGTGCCCCATAGCAAAAATCTCTCTTAAAAAAATAAGTATGAAGTAAAATCCAATGAAATATACACTATCTGGGTGAATTTTATGGTGTGAGAATTATTTGAACAAAGTTGGCACACACACAACCATAGTAAGTGAATGATCTTATTTTTTATTTTATTTGAATAAGAAATATGTCTATATCCCCAGAAGATGATTAATTAAAATGTTAAAAATAATTGTTATTTCCTGGTAATGAGCACAGTGATTTTTCCTTTTCCTTTTCTTTATCTCTCTCTTTTTTTCTTAATTTAATGTTTTTGCCATAGGGCACATGTGCTCACTGGAGAGAGAGAGACAGAGAGAGGAAAAATTAGAAATCATCCTCAAGGGGCATAGCCAAACTACAATCCCTTCTTCATTCTCCTCGTGGAATTCAAGCACATGTGCACCCACCATGATTTTCAAACCTCTAGGTCCAGGACTTGAACCGCGGTAGACCATGTGGAAGTCCAGCCTCACAACTGCCACACCACCTCCTGGCCTCAGCACAGTGATTTTAATTGTGGTTTTGGGTTTAGATATGTAATTTACAATAAACTTTCTTTAAAAATTAGTTTATCTCGCTTTATTTATTATTTATTTAATCTGACTAGAGAGGTACAGAATGAGAGAAAGAGAGAGAAGGAAGTGAGAAAGCAAGTCACCAGGTCCAGGACTCGAACCCTGGTTAGCCAGGTGGGAGTCCAGCGCCCCTAACCACTATGCCACCTGGTGGCCCCTGCAATGAACTTTTTACAAGGTAACTAAAGAAACTCATTAAAAAAAAAAATCAAATACCTGGAGTGAGGGGTGATTTACTGCATTTTGTCTCTGTCTTTCTCTGTCTCTAGAGTGAACGCATGCACCCTATAGCAAAAATTTCTCTAAAAAAAAAAATCAGATATGAACTATACTAAAAATATTTAAACACAAACCTTTGTGACTTCAGAAAATTACTTAGAAATCATCTATTAATACCTCATAACCTGGATGTTTTATTTACTGTTAAGATAGGCAGTAAAGGCCAGCAGTTGGTATGAAGGTTTGGGTGGCTGGATCCCACATGGCAAACAACTGCTGCTGGAGTTCTGGAAAACGTTTTTGAGACCAGCAGGTGGCATGGTGGTTAAGGTACTGGACACTCGCCAACCACATTTAGAGTCCTGGAGCTGGTGGTTTTCTTTTTCACTTTCTTTCTGTGTGTCTCTCTGGTCAAATTAAAATACATGAATGAATAAATAAAATTAAATAAATAATTCTTAAAAAAAAGTTTCAGTGGGTATGCATTTCTGAAGAATATTCCTAACAGTATACCGCAGAAGTAATGTCTCATATGTTTCATAGTTAAATGTTTTCATTCTTCTGTCTATAAATCTCAGAAAAACATTCAGTTATCTTTTTGAAAAATTATCTTTTTTTTCTTTAGAGAGATTTTTTTGCTGTAGGCACATGCACTAGCCAGAGAGACAAAAAGTATGAAATCACCCCCTGGGGCAGAAGACCATGCCACAATCCCTTCGCCTCCATTCTCATCTCAGAACTTTTGGGCGCACACACACCCAGCGCGAGTTTTAAGCCGCTGGGTCTGGAACTCAAATTGCGGTCAACTATGTGGGAGGCCAGTGACATAATCATTACACCACTTGCTGGTCCCTTGAAAAAGTCTATTTACATTGTTATACAGTGATTTCTTTTTTTTTTTTTTACAATAGCAAAATTTTATATTTAAAAGCTGTTAACGCTTCATATTCCAGAAACAAAAACAGAGTATAATCGGAAAATAGGATTGTATTAGTTCCAATATGTGAATGAACATCTTTAAAAATTAAAAATGGCAGGGCCTGGGACCAGCAAATGGTGTAATGGCTTTGTCGCTGGACTCCCACGTAGTTGACTGTGGTTCGAGTCCCAGACCCGGTGGCTTAAACTCATGCGGGCGCAGGTGCGGGCATACCCACGATCCTGAGAAGAGAATGGAGGAGAAGGGATTGTGGCGTGGCCATCCCCCCTGAGGGGTGATTTCTCGCTTTCTATCTCTCTGTCTTTCTGGCAAGCGCATGCGCCCTATCGCAAAAACCTCTCACAAAAAGAAAAAAAATGGCAGAGCTGGCAAGTGGCGTGATGGTTAAAAGACATTGGATTCCTACATGGCCAACTGCTGTTTGAGTCCTGAACCTGGTGGCTTGCTTTCTCACTTTTTCTCTCTCTCTCATTCCATCCCTCTCTAGTCAAATTGAAATAAACAAATGAAAAAAAAAAAGTTAAATAATTCTTAAAAAAAAAAAAAAAATTAAAAATGGCAAATGCTACAGACCACAGAGTGGAATCATAATGTTAAATGAGGTGGCTTGATTCCCTCCCGCCGTTCACATACGTACCTGTCATGTAGAAGTCTTTTATAGTTAGCTGAGGTGGAACAAGTGGGTCAGCAAGAAGTTGCTGGTTCACTAACTACAAAAAAAGGAATAAGAAACCAATAATAGTACTGAAAACTAGTACCGTTACACCCATCAGTGCATAAACCATTACGAAAACAGTATGTAGGCAGGTTTTTACCTTGGAGAGTTCATTTGCTTGTTGGAAGTAATTAGCTCCTTCCACATCATCGTATCGAACAAGATTAGGAGAGACTTCTTCCAATCTATTCCTCACTTGATCCAGAGTATCATATGGAAGAGTTATACCTGCAATCTACAACATATCAGGTCCCCAAATGATATAATGCTTACAAATTCCAAATAGTAAATATTGCAGCTATGATGAAATAATGCAGTATTACTGAAAAACCTCTTGTTGTCTGTTAGCAGCAGCAGCAGCAGCAACAGCATATATATATATATATTTTTTTTTTTTTGAGAGGGTTTTGCTATAGGGCGCATGCGCTCACCAGAAAAAGAGAGAGGGAGAGAGAGAGAGGGAGAAAGCAAGAAATCACCCCTGAGGGGGGATAGCCATGCCACAATCCCTTCTCCTCCATTCTCCTCTCGGGATCTTGGGCATGTACGCACACGCACCCGGCATGAGTTTAAGCTGCTGGGTCCGGGACTTGAATCACGGTTGACTACGTTGAAGTCCAGCAACATAGCCATTATGCTAACTGCTGGTCCCAGCAGCATGTTTTTTAAGGAATCAGTTTAAGTGAGGAACATATTTGTCAAAAATTCTAATTTGTAAACAATTGTCAGTAAATTAGTAATTTATCTTTAGAAAATAGATTCTGGGCCAGCCAGTTTGCATGGTGATTAAGGCAGCTGGATCCAACATGGCCAGCTCTGTGGTTTGTGTGTCTGAAAACCACAGTTTGAAAACCTGTGGCTTGGGCCTGTGTGTGTACATGCCAATAATCCCAAAAGAAGACTGAGAAAGAACACCCCCCCATGGGTGATTTCTTGCTTTCCCGTCTGACGTTGTCTAGAAAGCGCATGTGCCCTATAGCAAAACTAAGGGAAAAAAAAAGAAAATAGATTCATTATTGAATGATTAAAGAAAATACTATGCTAATCTTAAATGCTTCTTGAGATCTTCTCTTTTTTAAAAAGATATTTTTGTTATAGGGCATATGTTCTCGCCAGAGAGAGAGAGACAGAAAGCAAGATATCACCTCCCAGTGGACTGGTCATGAATCCCTTCTCTGTTCTCCTCATGGGATCTTGGGCACACATGCACATGTGTCTGGCATGAGTTTTTTTTTAAATTAAATTACATTAATTATTATTGTTCTTCAATTTTTTAAAAGAATTATTTAATTTAATTTTATTTATTTATTCATTTATTTTAATTTGACCAGAGAGAGAAAGTGAGAAAGCAAGCCACCAGGTCTAGGACTTGAACTGTGGTCAGTCATGTGGGAGTGTTCAGCACCTTAACCACCACATCACCTGGTGGTCCCCTGGCATGAGTTTTAAGTCGCTGGGTCTGGGGCTTTCTTTTTTTTTTTTTTTT